TGAGCCTGCCCCAGTAACACCATGATCTCCAAATTGCTGGGGACCACGGTTTTAGAGAAATCTGTGTTCATGTCCTCATCACTGCGCTGCCATCGCCTCCTCGCCTGGTTTTTCAGGTACTGGTTCTGCATAAACTGCACGATAATGCGTGAGGTGTTTACAATGGCCATAACTGCTGCAGTGAGCTGAATGGGCTCCATGCTTACCATGCTATGGCGTCTGCTCGGGCAATCCAGGGAAAAGGGCGCAAAATGATTGTGTGCTGTTGCTTTCACGGAGGGAGGGAGGGTTGACTGATGACATTTACCCATAACCACCCACGGCAAATTTTTGGCCACATCAGGCATTGGGAGCTCAGCCCAGAATTCCAATGGGCAGCAGGGACTGTGGGATAACTGCCCACAGTGCACTGCTCGGAACGTTGACGCTTGTCACAGTACTGTGGACGCACACCGCCAAATTAAATGTGCTTAGTGGGGACGCACGCACTCGACTTTATACAATCTGTCCCCAAAAATCGACTTCTGTAAAATCGGAGTACTTTCGTAGTGTAGACATGGCCTGAGTGTTAAAGACAGGAACACTTCTTAAGCTGCTTTCAGTTTAAGCCTACAGCTGTTAGGGGATGTGGTTTCAGTCCTGGGTCTGGATTTGCAGCAGGCTACCGGGTCAGGCTCAAACCCAGCAGGGCACTAGAGTCCCAAGCTGCCAGGGCAGGTGTCATAACCCTGAGGGTAGCCTAAAATTCCTCCTTACCTGTAAGGGGTTAAGAAGCTCAAATAACCTGGTTGGCACCTGACCAAAGGAATCCATGGGGACAAAAGATACTTTTAAACCTGGGGGCGGGAGGAAAAAGGCTTTGTTTTGGGTTCTTTGTTTCTGTGTTTATTCGCTCTTGGGACTAAGAGGAACCGGGTATCAATCCATGTCCTCCAAACCATTCTGAACCCGTCTCTCCTATTCCAGAAATTGTAAATACAGCCAGGCAAGGCGTATTAGTTTATCTTTGTTTTCTCAACTATGAATTTTCCCTTTGCTGAAGGAAGGTTTATCCCTGTTTTGTTGTAACTTTGAAACTAAGGCTAGTGGGTGTTCCTCTGTGTTTTGTGCATCTTTTGTTACTCTGTAAAGTTATCTTCCAACCTGATTTTACAGATGGGATTTTTACCTTTTCTATTTTCTTTTCTTTTTTTTTAAATAAAATTCTTCTTTTTAAGAAGTGATTGATTTTTTTTTCAGTGTCCAAAGATCCAGGGATTTGGGTTTGTGTTCACTTTGTAACCAATTGGTTAGGATATTATTCTCAAGCTTCCCCAGGAAAGGGGGTGCAAGGGCTGGGGAGGGATGGATATTTTGGGGGAACAGGAACTCCAAGTGGTCCTTTCCCTGATTCTTTGTCTAAATTACTTGATGGTGGCAGCATACTGTTCAAGGATAAGGTGGAATTTGTGCCTTGGGAAAGTTTTTAACCTAAGCTGGTAAAAATAAGCTTAGGGGGACTTGCACGTGGGTCCCCACATCTGTACCCCAGAGTTCAGAGTGGGGAAGCCGTGGGATCATTTTGAACCAAAACCACAGTAGGATTTTAAAAGGACATTTTTTTTTCCCTTTTGGCTGCTTGGAAGCAGGTTTTTTAGCTGAGAGCAGCTGGAGTTTTTTTCTCTGCCTCAGGGCAGAGGGGTTAAGTTGCAACAAAACAGGGATAAACCTCCCTCCAGCAAAGGGAAAATTCATAAATTGAGAAAACGAAGAAACTAATATGCCTTGCCTGGCTGTATTTACAATTACTGGTTCAGAATGGTTTGGAGGACATGGATTGATGTCCGGTCCCTCTTAGTGCCAAGAGCAAACGAACACAGAAACAAAGAACCGAAAACAAAGCCTCTTCCCTCCCCTCCCCCCGCCCCCAGGTTTGAAAGTATCTTTTGTGCCCATTGGTTCCTTTGGTCAGGTGCAAACCAGGTTATTTGAGCTTCTTAACCCCTTACAGATAAGGAGGGATTTTAGGTTACCCTTATGGTTATGACAGCAGGAAAGCAGGGGCAGAAGCAGTCTTGGCACATCAGTTGGCAGCCCCAAGGGGGTTTCTGTGATCCAACCCGTCACACACCTCTATCACTTTGGCACCAAGAAAGAGGGAAGACAGAGAAGACGGTCTACATGATCAACCTGGTTCCAATCACAAGCCTTCTCAAAGGCAGTGAGGTAGGCACCTATACCCCCCTCTCATTAAACTGGGCCAACCATTTGGTAACTGGGCTCCTATGGAACTGGCTTTCGTGGTCTCTCACCACTTTCCCCCTTATGGGACTTCTTGCTTCTCCATACCCACTCCATGCTATCGCGGCTCTTCCTGGTTTTTCCTCTGCTTCTCCTCATGTTTATCCTTTTCTCTGGATCAGCTCGCTGCCTTTCGCGGTCTGCTTGTCTCTGTTCCTCCATCTGAAGCTCCTTTGCTTTCTCCACTCCAACTCTCAATGCTTCAACTCTAGCAAAGGGGGAACCGGATCATCAGGATGCCCCTCCCCCCAGCTGCTGTTGCAGGTGCCTCTGTGACCCTGGGACTCTCTCAAAATCCCACCTGGCTTTGGACCCTAATTCTTGATCCGATCATCCTTCTCCAGCCATGCAGTTGGCTGAGCCTTGTGTAACTTTCCAACACTGAACACTCTCCCACCGCTCTGCTCTGTGATGCTCTTCTCAGGGAGGTGGATATACACCATTTTCTTGCTGTTTCCTTTGACTAATCTTGTTTTTACTGCTGCAAGTCACTTCTTGCAAAATCCTCCTGTTGCATTCAGAATCCCACCAGCTGTCCACAACTGTCATGGATCCTCACGCTCTGTCCTATGCCCCAGCTTTTAAACAGTCCCTAGAGGGACCCCTTCACTGTGCCAAATCCCCAAGGGGTCCCACTCTTCTCTCAGGGTAGGCCATGCAGCCTCAATGCCTCCAAGACTGAGCCTCTGGGCTCCAGCTCTCCTGCCTCACACCATGAGCTGTGCCCAGCAAGTCCAGCTGAGACAGACTCCTGGTCAGAGACTGTTAGACTCTCCAGGGATTAATGCACCCAGCAAGTATCTGCAGGGACACCCGGCAGCCTTTTCAAAAATGGTAGGGTATATTAGCCAACTGGAACACAGCAGAGGCAAATCCTTAGGTTAGCACAGAGAAATAAAGGTTAAGACATAATCCATATTGGCCAAAGCCCTTGAGCCACGCTGCCATAGGAACCCATTTAAGTGTCCTTTTCATGTATCTATCCCTTTGTCTTACTTCCAGGAAAGCTCTCTGTCTCTGGGAGCCCAGTTCTTCCTGCTCCTCAAAACACATTGAGTTCACATGCACTCTACCCAGACAAGCTGGGTGCCTCTCATTGATAGGTGTCAAGTGTTCAGTCCTGGGGGTTACGGTGGACTCTGTAAGGACTTCACTGATATGGGTTAGTCCCACTCAGTCCCATAATGAGCCATTCGTATCACCCCATGACAGCTTTTCACACTCAGAACAGAGCAACCCCAAATACAGAGGGCAGCTGAGGCACGTATTGGAGTAACAGAAATATTACCAAAATTCCCACATCCATCACATATACACTGGTCACAGCCCTTGGAGAGAAGCAAAGCACAGGGGCTGGACTTTAGGCCAGTGAACACAATGAAGGGCGAGGGGACTGCAAGCCTTAAACCTTGATCGAGATGCAGGGGCACCTATGTCCCTGCCCACAGACAGGTGATGGTTGGACGCCTGGTACCTGAGAGGGCATTCCTTGAGCAGACTTCGGAGGGGGTCAAACATGTAGCTCCCCCAGACCTGTGACATCAGAAAAGCAGTTTTGGGAGAATTAGGGAATCCAGTGGGTTAGGTGCAGTAGGAGGGCGTATTAACCCCCGCACACACACACACAAACATCTGGGTAAGGCTGGGGAATTAGACACTATAATTCAGGAGCAACAGACTAATTCCTCTGGAAAAGGAGAATGCGATAAACAAGAATCAGGCAACGTGGCATCAGAAGGGACTGACGAAAAGATCCAAAAAGCCTGGAGGGAAGGTAGACCATGGCTGCTGGAGATAGGGGTGGGGAAGAGAAAGACCTGGCAAGTCCCCAGAAGTCTCACTGCCACCCTGTGACATCATCGACAAACAGCACATTTGTGCCGGGGCAGCGGTGATCCTCTGGGTCAGAGGAACAAAGTAAGGACTCAGGAATAGTGGCCAGGGTCGCAGTGCTAGACACAGCGGCGGGGGGAGGGATTGCGTCGGGGCAGCGAGTGGTGAATGAAGGACAAGAGTTTAATATTTGGGGAAAAAAAACTGTAAAATTAAGTGCAACTGAACAGAAATAAAACTGGAGCGCAGGTTCTGAAGCAGCAAGGCCTGGGCAGGAATTCTGTATGAAAGGGCTGGAATCCCCCACAACTCCAGAGCCCCAAAACCTCTTCTCCTTCCCACTGACCCACCCTGCTCCCTTCCTGGGTGCCCTTCCTCCACAATCCCATTCTTTCCTCCCACTGCTCTCAGCCCACTCCAGCACATCTACTCCCCTTCTCCTCCCCTCCCACTGCTCCGTTTCCCTGTCACCCATGGACTCCTGAGCGACAACCTCCTACGCTCGCCTATCAAAACATGGGCTCACCTGACTGTCATGCCGTCCATGTACCTCGTAGTTCCCCTGTTTACTGGACTGTATCTAGAATTGTAGCAGCTGCAGAGAGACCCCGTCAAATGAGGAAAGGGGTGAACGCTCTAGTTATTCATTACTTTTAATGCATCCAATAAGGATAAATTAAACTAAATTTTATAAATCATATTTTTTCAAAATGGCCAACATTAAATACACACACGCCCAGAAATGACACCGGGGAAGGACATGAAGCAAAAAGCCAGGCATGGAAACTTGCCAAAAATTACAGGCTGAGTAAAGGTCCAGAGTTATTACTACTCGGGTTCTGTAGAGACCCCACAGCTTCTAATAACCAGGGCAATGGAATCCTTACCCAGTGAGGCCACAGCAGCATAGTTCTCCTGCATGACCTCCCTGTAGAGGGCTCTCTGAGCAGGGTCTAGCAGAGCCCATTCCCCCTCCGTGAAGTACACAGCCAGCTCCTCGAAGGTCACCGACTCCTGAAAGAACAAGCGTCGTCCACTCAGAACCTGCTACCCAGTGACAACACCAGTATTCACAGGAGAGCAGGGCCAGTAAAATGAATAAATGAATAAAAAGAAATCTGAGGAGGTTCAACAAGGACAAGTGCAGAGTCCTGCACTTAGGAAGGAAGAATCCCATGCACCGCTACAGACTGGGGACCTACTAGCTAAGCAGCAGTTCTGCAGAGAGGGACCTGGGGATTACAGCGGACGAGAAGCTGGATATAAGTCAGCAGTGTGCCCTTGTTGCCAAGAAGGCCAATGGCGTATTGCCAGCAGATCGAGGGAAGTAATTATTCTCCTCTATTTGACACTTGTGAGGCCACACCTGGAGTTTTGGTCCCCCACACTTCAGAAGGGATGTGGACAAATTGGAGAGAGTCCAGCCAAGGGCAACAAAAATAATTAGGGGGCTGGGACACATGACTTACGAGGAGAGGCTGAGGGAACTGTGCTTATTTAGTCTGCAGAAGAGAAGAGTGAGGGGGGATTTGATAGCAGCCTTCAACTACCTAAAGGGGGGTTCCAAAGAGGATGGAGCTAGGCTGTTCTCCGTGGTGGCAGAAGACAAAACAAGGAGAAATGGTCTCAAGTTGCAGTGGGAGAGGTCTACGTTGGATATTAGGAAACACTATTTCACTAGGAGTGTGGTGAAGCACTGGAATGCGTTCCCTAGCGAGGTGCTGGACTCTCCATCCTTAGAATTTTTAAAGGCCCGCTTGACAAAGTCCTGGCTGGGATGATTTAGTTGGTGTTGGTCCTGCTTTGAGCAGGGGGTTGGACTCTATGACCTTCTGAGGTCTCTTCCAACCCTAATCTTCATGATTCTATGAATGCTCTGGGAAGGACACAGTAACAGAGTCCAATCCCTATCCCACTCACAGCAGCCAGGAAGCACCCGGGTAAGGGGAGAAAGAGAGAGCCCCTTCTCCCTGCCAGGAGACACAGGGAGCAAGGCCCTTCACATTTATCACATACCTAGTAAGCAGGGGCTGGTACAGGAGATGGAACCCCAGCAGGGTCCAGGGACAGTCCCTGGTAAGAATCCCAAAACCCTAACCATAAAAACACAATAGATAGCAAATGGAGGAAAGGGGAAGTCAAAAGGAAAGAATATAAGTCAGCAGCTTGGAATTATAGAAAATTCATAAGGGAAGCAAAGGGGCAAAAGGGAAATCTATGGCCAGCAGAGAAAAGTACAATAGAAAGGATTTTTTAAAGTATATTAACAAGAAAGTATCTTAACAACGGCATTAGTTCATTACTATGATAGAATTATCAGTAATAATACACAGAAGGCAAAAGGGTTCAGTGAATATGTTCTGTATCAGAGGAAAAAAACAAACAGATGATACAATCATATTGTATGATGATAATGACACTCTTTACATTCCAGTAACAACTCATGAGAATGTTAAACTGCAGCTACTAAAGTTAGACATCTTTAAAATCAGCAGGTCCAGACAACTTGTATCCAGAAGTTTTAAAAGAATTGGCTGAGGAGCTCACTGGATCATTGTTGTTGATTTTCAATGGGTCTTGGAACACTGGGAAAACTTCAGAAAAATGGAAGAAAGATAGTCCTGTGCCAATATTCAGAATTTGAAAAGGGGATGACCAGGTAATTATAGGACTGTCCATCTGACATTGATACCAGGTAAGATAATGGAGCACCTGATAATTGCACTGATAAAAGATTAAAGGAGGGTAATACAATTAACACCAATCAACATAGGTTGAGATCCTAGCAAACTAACTGCATAATTTTTTGGATGAGATTAGAAGTTTGGTTGATAAAGGTAATAACACTGATGTAATATACGTGGATATCTGTAAGGCATTTGTCTTGGTACAGAACAATTCAAAATTAACATTGCACACATGAAATACATTAAAAAGTGGCTAACTGATAGGTCTCAAAATGTAACTGTAAGTGGGGAACTATGGTTGAGTAGGTGTGTGTCTAGTGGGATCTCCTGGCTCTGTGCTATGTAACATTTTAATCAATGACCTGGAAGACAACATAAAGTTGTCATTGATAAAGTTTGCAGATGACGCAAAGATTGGGGGAGGGGCAAATAACTAAGTGTATCGGTAGGTTCAGTCTTCAGCACTGGGAGTTTGGGAAGTTTTCCCACGTCTGGCCAGGGGGGTTATTTCCTGCTCCACAAACAGGGGAAGTCCCACTCCCAACCCCCATGAGCCTGTTCCTTGAAAGCTAGCCCCAGAGTCAACCAGTTCCAGCAGAATGGTCGCACCCTGTCCCTTCCCTTTCTCTACCTTGTGTATTTCCAGCCCCGCTCCTCCCACCTCCAGCAGCTCCCATCCTCCTGTGAATTTACTGCCCCTCTCCCTCCCGCCAGAACCCACCACCAGCTCCCAGACAATCCCTTACCTGAGCCAGCTCCACTGACGCCATTTCCTTTATGCTGGGAAGATCTGGAGCAAAATGTGGATGTTATTCTGCAGCCTGTCAGGGCGAAAAGGGCAACTGGAGTGATTTCAGAAGGGGTTTTGTCCATTTCACATTCTCTATTCATCCCAGGCTTTCTCCCTGCAAAGACACATTCTAGGTTCTGCTGCACTGAGAAACTCTTACGGTACGTCTACACCAGACCGATACAGCTTTGGATTTCCTACTTTTGAGAGGTTTGAGTGTTACTGAACTCGACCTGCTGGAAGGGCTCAGGACAGCACTGGGCACCCTTAGCGCTGCATTAATGAAGTTTTCAGTGAATATGGATGTTCAATAAACAAACAGAAAAGGATGGTTCCCCGCCCCACCTGCCATTCACAGGCCCTTGGCCTGGCAACTTGAAGGGGGAAAGAAAGGTGGATGGAGCTGAGAGGTTCCCTGGAAGTCGGAAGGGGTAGCAGCTGGGGATGACTGACAGTGGAGTTGGGGGGAGCAGGGTTGGGTCATGGAGTGGAGTGGGGTGGCAGCTGGGACTGGGTAACCTGGGGCTGCGTGGTCTCCATGTGGGAGATTTGCTTCTCCCTTCCCCTCACGTGCCCCTTCCATGCTCTGTTGCCAGCAGAGAATGGGCACCCTAGGGAATGACTCAGGGCAACAATTCCCTACCAAACCAAAGACAAAGCACTGCAGATCCAAGGGGTAGAAAACACCCCAAATCTGAGGAAATATTAAATTGACACCAGAGAATTAGAGAGAAAATGGGGCAAAAGCTGAATGGGGAAATTGTCAATAATTTGAGAGAAAAGAAGAAGAAATCAACATAGATTTTATATCCATACTTGATAATTACAGAGAAGTGACAAAATCACAGGGGATTTCATGCTCCCTTGCCCCTGTCATTTATGACTGCTCCAAACTCACACTGTCTCTACCTCCATCTCTGTCCTTCCCCGACCCTTCCCTGCCTGGAACCTCCACACCCCAGACACTCAAAGGAGAACCCCACAAAGCCGGTCTCTTCCCCTCCTCAATCCCGTTTTGCCACTGGGCAGCTTGTGGCAGGAGATCAGTGGCTTCAGTGCTGTTAAGGCAGCTCAGATCCCACCCACAGGTGCATTGGGGGGAGGGATAGCTCAGTGGTTTGAGCATTGGCCTACTAAACCCAGGGTTGTGAATTCAATCCTTGAGGGGGCCATTTAGAGATCGGGGGCAAAAACTGGGGACTGGTCCTGCTTTGAGCAGGGGGCTGGACCTTTAGATGACCTCCTGAGGTCCCTTCCAACCCTGATAGATTATTAACAAGAAGTAGCAGATTCCCAGGAGCTGTGAGATCCGAGGATCCTGGTGACATTTGTGCAGAGTCACTTTTCTGACCATCCCCTGGTCTCGCTCAGTCACCTGGAGTCTCCAGCTCAGCAGTTGGGGTTGGCAGAGCCTGGGGCTGCCTTAGGGGGCTAGTTCCAGCCACTGGAGAAAGTCCCCCCCGGACTGGGCAGGGAGGAGGTTTTAATGAAGGTCTATCCACAGCACAGACCCAGGGCTCAGCCTGGGCTCCCAGAGCACAGGGGAGGCAGCACCATCCCACCCGAGAAACTCAACCCTGACCTTGAGTAAAGAGAGACAGAGAGAGCAGCCTCCCCTCCCTTAGCAACAGCCAGAGCCCTCTGGTGACAGCAGCTAAGGACACCACTTCCCCGATCTTATCCGCTCCCATGTTAATCCAGAGTCACTCCTTTTCCTTCCTTGCAGCAACTCTGGAGTCAATGAGACCAGAAATGTGACACTGGGGAGGGGAAGATGCAAAAATCTGTTTAAACACATCCTGGGAGGGAAGGTTCCAGGCCTTCCCCCCTGCCCCACTCCCCACATCTGGGGCAATGACTTAGGGCAACTATCTTCCCTCCAAACCCTGAACATCCTACAGTTCTGAAGGGGGAGAGAAATAAAATTTGTGGTGATTTTATATTAGTATTTGATAAATGGAGAGAAAGTTATCACTGCCCCCGACCGGTCACTCACACAGGCATCAGGGAGCCCTGGCCAATGCTGCTTTAACAGGAGATGGGAGGGGATGTAGGAGCCAGAAGAGTCAAACTTCCATGCCCGGTCACTGGCTAAAAATGGCCACCATGGACCCACCCCAGAGGTGGCTGGGTCTCAGCACTGCAGGAAGAGACCCCTCATGGTGACCGTTCACCACGGGCTCTGGGGACCCTTCTGGTGAAAGCAGCTATCGGAACGTGAGGAGTTAGTACAGGAGGACGGAGTATCTCAGCTGCTCTGGGCTATGCCTGGCAGGGAGAACAGGG